ACAAATGCTTTAGCATGTTTCACACCTCATCTAACTAAATAGATTAGTCATCAAAATCAGCATCACATCACATACGGTTTATATTGTAAACTGCCCTGTGGTCTTTGAGTGAAGGGCACTATAGTTAGTTAGTTAGTTAATACATAGGTAAAGGTAAAGGGACCCCTGACCGTTAGGTCCAGTTGTGGCTGCCTCTGGGGTTTTGGCGCTCATCTCACTTTATTGGCCGAGGGAGCCGGCGTACAGCTTCCGGGTCATGTGGCTACCATGACTAAGCCGCTTCTGGCGAACCAGAGCAGCACACGGAAACGCCGTGCTAGGTTGGCAGGAGCAAGGACCGAGCAACGGGAGCTAATCCCATCGCGGGGATTCAAACTGCCAACCTTCTGATCGGCAAGTCCTAGGCTCTGTGGTTTAACCCACAGCGCCACCCGCATCCCAGTTAATACATACATACATACATACATACATACATACATACTGATGCCTGTGTTTTCAGGTAAAAGATTCTGAAGAGCATCAACTTTTGATGGTCTGGTCATAAAATAGAAAAGCAGTCCATCACATTTTGATGTCTGGGTCTACAAGCAAAATATTCTGGTGACAGAAGAGTTCAAGATTGAGAAAGGGACACGACAAGATTGCCCAATTTCTCCACTGCTTTTTATATCGGTCCTTGAGGTTTTGCTAAACATGATAAGAAAGGACCAAGAGATCAAAGGTATACAATTGGGAGTTAAACAGTATAAATTGAAAGCATTTGCTGATGATCTAGTATTGACTCTACAGGAACCAGAATCTAGCACAAAGAGGGTATTGGAACTGATTCAAGAATTTGGGCAAGTAGCAGGTTTTAAGCTGAAAAAGATGAAAACTAAGGTCTTAGAGAAAAACTTAACTGTAAATGAGAGAGAGAAATTTCAGGAAGAGACAGGACTAACATTGGTTAAGAAAGTGAAATATCTAGGGGTTAATATGACTGCTAAAAATGTAAATTTATTTAAGGATAATTATGAAAAATGTTGGATTGAAGTGAAAAAAAGACTTAGAAATATGGTCAAATTTGAAGTTATCATTATTAGGTCGAATTGCTGTGATAAAAATGAATGTGCTGCCAAGGATGTTGTTCTTGTTTCAAACATTACAAATTTTGGATAAGATGGATTGTTTTAAGAAGTGGCAGAAAGATATTTCCAGATTTGTCTGGCAGGGCAAGAAGCCTCGAATAAAATTTAAGATATTAACTGATGCTAAAGAAAGAGGTGGATTTGCCCTGCCAGACCTAAAACTCTATTATGAATCAGCTGCTTTTTGTTGGCTGAGAGAATGGCTGCTACTTGAAGACACTGATGTGTTGGACCTAGAAGGTTTTAACAACACATTTGGTTGGCATGCATATTTGTGGTATGATAAGGTAAAAGCACATAAAGCGTTTAAAAATCATATTGTTAGAAAAGCATTGTTTAATGTATGGATAAGATATAAAGATTTGTTAGAAAAGAAAACCCCAAGATGGTTGTCACCAATGGAAGCGAAGGCACAGAAAAAACTCAATATGGAGGCCAAATGGCCGAAATATTGGGAAATTCTGGAACAAGAGGGAGACAGACTAAAATTGCAGAGCTTTGAAAAATTGAAAAATAAAGTGCGAGATTGGCTCCATTATTATCAAATAATGGAGGCATATAATTTGGACAAAAAAGTTGGTTTCCAGGTGGAAAAATCAAAATTGGAAACAGAACTGTTAGACTCCAAAATCAAGAATTTGTCAAAAATGTATAACTTGCTGTTGAAATGGAACACCCAGGATGAAACGGTGAAATCAGCTATGATTAAATGGGCACAAGATGTTGGACATAATATAATGATGGCTGACTGGGAACAGTTATGGACCACAGGTATGAAATTTACGGCATGTAATGCCCTAAGAGAAAACTTAATGAAAATGATTTATAGGTGGTACATGACACCAGTCAAGCTTGCAAAAATTTACCATTTGCCCAAAAATAAATGTTGGAAATGTAATGAGACTGAAGGCACATTCTTTCACCTTTGGTGGACATGCCCAAGGATTAAGACATACTGGGAGATGATTTATAATGAAATGAAAAAGGTATTTAAATATACCTTCCTGAAGAAACCAGAGGCCTTTCTTCTGGGCATGATCGGTCAATTGGTGCCAAAGAAGGATAGAACTTTTTTATGTATGCTACAACAGCAGCAAGAATACTCATCGCGAAGTATTGCAAGACACAAGATTTACCCACCCGGGAAGAATGGCAGATGAAGTTGATGGACTATATGGAATTGGCGGAAATGACTGGCAGAATCCGAGACCAGGGAGAAGAGTCGGTGGAAGAAGATTGGAAAAAGTTTAAAGACTATTTACAGAAATATTGTAAAATTAATGAATGTTAGAAAAATGTTGGAATGAAGTTATATGGCTTCAGTAGAAATGTTATAAGGAATTAAGTATAAATAGATTAATAGAGAATTAAAGGGAAAAATAAGGTTAAAATGTGTTAAGATAATTATAGAATAGAAAGCAGAGGAAGATGGAAAGGAATTGCTGAAACAACTAACAGAAGTGGAATACAAAAAGGGAGGTGCGAGGAGGTCATGGAAATAAGTGAATGAAAGATTGAAATTATTTGATGTGTTTTTGTCAGGAACTGACATCGGAGCTAGAGGTGGAGGGGAGGCTCTTAATGATGCTGGAGAAGGGCCCAGCAGGGAGAGAGGCAGCTCAGCAGATGGGGAAGCAAATCAGCGCAACACCAGGAATAAAGGGGGGCAGATGGGGGAATCGGCGAGAGGGCTCCCAGACGCTTCACCGGACACCAGCAGGGAGAGCACGGGTCCTCCGCTACCCACGCTCTCCCTGCGCAGAAGACTTCCGCGCAGAGAGAGTAGGAGGAGACTGGGTGTCAAACAACTTTTATGTTGGAAAAGGTTTAAGAAACGCCCACTGACGGATTCTGCGACTGAGGCAGCCACGAAGTGAAGGGCTGTCCAGACTGAGAGGTTTAACAAGGCAACAAAGCCAGGAGAGGCGGCAACTTACGCACGAGCAACCCATACTCATTACAGTTTTAAATTGTTTTTGTTTTGTTTTCTTAGTTTAAATTGTTTTTGTTAGTTTAGTGTTAGGTATTGTTTTTGTATTGTATTGTATTGTTTATTTTCTTTTTCTATGTATGTTCAAATTGTTGGAAAGTAATAAATATTATTTTAAAAAAAATACAAGCAAAATATTCTGTTAGGGATGAGTTCTTGGTGGCCCACATGGTTGGAAAATTTGACAGATTGGCATTTTTGATCCCCTTAGTCATAAAAAGATGCCCTCTGTAAAAAATGGGAAGCCTGATAAGGTGAATTTTAAGCTGCCACATTAGTCAGACCCTACAGTAGGGTAGAACAATATGCTTGAGGAAATGAAATGGGGTTGTGGGAATAGTTGGTCTTGAAATCTGAGTGGTCAAGAGCAGCACTCTGGTCCTTATGTTTTCAGGCAGGAAATTCTGACGGTCGCTTCTTTTTTTATGCTGCAAAGAAAGCAAACAACAACAACGCCCAAACTCTCGCTCCAACTTGGGGGAGCCGAAGACATTTTGCTGCTTGAGACAAAGGACAAGGTGGTGCTCCTCCATTCCACGTACTACGGAAGCCAACTAGCTTGAATCTTCATTAAATATAGGCGATGGGACAGCATCCTCTGCTGTAACTGAGAGTAGCAGGCAAACTTAGCATTGCTCTGCCCACCTTGCACAACTCAGAAGAAGAAGAAGAAGAAGAAGAAGAAGAAGAAGAAGAGGAGGAGTTTGGATTTGATATCCCGCTTTATCACTACCCGAAGGAGTCTCAAAGTGGCTAACATTCTCCTTTCCCTTCCTCCCCCACAACAAACACTCTGTGAGGTGAGTGAGGCTGAGAGACTTCAGAGAAGTGTGACTAGCCCAAGGTCACCCAGCAGCTGCATGTGGAGGAGTGGGGAAGCGAACCCGGTTCACCAGATTACGAGTCTACCGCTCTTAACCACTACACCACACTGGCTCAGCACCCACAGCATTAGCTAGCAAACCAGGGGGTGGCCTCTCCATATGCCCTCTTCCTGTAGAAGTTTTGAGCTGCATGAGAAGACATGTGTCATAGGATCTTCAGGTGGGGCCACTGGCAGCTAGGGCCCAGGACCTCATGAGAAACCACTGTGTCTTGGGGAGACTGCTACACATAAACACACACACACACACACACACACACACACACACACACATGAAAAGATAAACCATTAGTTCCCTCTCCCAAGAAAAAAGAGAAAAAAGCAAAACTTGATTCCATGTTTTCAGCCAATGAGCAAAAGTGAGATGTTTTGGACACCAAGCAATAGAAATCCTCCAGGGTCCTCAAGACTTGCTTGCTTCCAGTTGTTGTTTTTTTCTTGACTCATGCTTTGCTGTTCCTTTATCCATGGAAGCCAGGATGCATATGAGACAGGTATTCTCTAGACATGCAAATAGCGTGTGGGTGGATGTTAAAGACAGCCGCCTCCCACCCCCATGACAAATGAAAAGAGTTAGGCTAAAGTCCAGGAACTCATTAAAACAAAATCATGATGCAGTTGTACGTTATGGTACAATGTAGACATATCTATTGAGAAGGAAGTTTCTTTATGCTTAATGGGGCTTACTCTCAAGCTTATCAAATTGGGTATAGGGTTGCAATAAACGGGCCAAAGCCTTGAAGGCTGTACTAATTGGAAGGGAGAAAAACAAGGACTTTCAGGTCTCCTCAATTGCTACTTCTTTGCCAGTTTTCCTCCCCATCCCAATCAAATCGATCACATGGGACCTCCTCACTGTATTGTTGCCTGACAGGGCTGCCTTTCTTAGAAACAGACTTCAGGCATTTCAGGGAAACTCAGACACAGAATCATAGAGCTGTAGAGTTGGAAGGGACCATGAGGGTCATCTAGTCCAACCCCCTGCAATGCAGGAATCTTTTGCCCAACGTGAGGCTTGACTCATCAACCCTGAGATCATGAGTCTCATGCTCTACCAGCTGAGCTATCCCTTTATTGAAGCGTAGTCGACAGGAAGCCCTGCTTACTTCTTAGCCTCCAGGTCGAGGCTGCTCCCTTCTCCTACTCACCTCTACAAAAAGATCCAATTTCAAATACCCTTGACCCAGGAACTGACTATATACATAACCCCCCTTTTAATTTTAGCTCCAATAGTTACAAGTTCATCCACTGGGGAGACCTAACTTCACAACCACTCCTGGTTTGCTGTGGTGATGATGGAGATTCTAGTTCACTAGGTCTCTTCCATTTTTCCTCCTTCAGTTGTCTCTGCGCCGATAATTGAAGCTCCTTGCTGTGTGGCAGTGAACTTTGCCAACGTTTTATTTTATTTATTTTAGTTTTTATCCCACTTCTAAGCTAACCCTGTGCGATAGTTACCCAATACGATCTAGAACTGTGAGCTATTTTTCTAGAAAAAGAGGTGCCAGAACTCACCACATGAACACCTCCTTCATTTTCTTAGAATGGCAATGGCGCCCACCTTAGAGGTGCCAGAAGATTCTGCCCCCCCCAGATTCCATTTTTCATGATACCAAACCAAACTTCTCCCAGTTCCAGTTCACCACAGGGCTGTTTTCCATAACAGCGATCCTTGTTCTTCTTTATCTCTGTCTTCTGCAACTTTCCCAGTCGGTAAGTTCCTCCATATTCACTTGTTGGCAAAGGAACTGTTATGGGACTATTGGTTCTGATACGGCAACTCATAAGAAACTCTGATGGGCTGTATCCATTGGAGTGGGGAGAGGGTCTATATTCTATTAGCGCCTTACATTCTTCTTCTTCTTCTTCTATTGCGTCTTTACCATTTTAACACGGGACATGGGACAGTGTAAAGTTTCGCCTTTGTAAGTAGGCTTGTTTCTACCCACATTCTCTCACGCGCTGTGAAGACAAGCAAAGGACATCATCAGAGTTCAAAGACATATTCCAGCCAGACAAAAACTTTCAGGGGCTGCATTTCGCTTCCACACCTGTGGCTCCCTCACGTCACCCTGCTCTGCTCAAAACTCGAAAAACCTTGAACTCTAGAATAGGGGTCAGCAAACTTTTTCAGCAGGGGGGCGGTCCACTGTCCCTCAGACCTTGTGGGGGGCTGGACTATATTTTGAAAAAAATAATAATGAACGAATCCCTATGCCCCACAAATAACCCAGAGATGCATTTTCAATAAAAGGACACATTCTACTCATGTAAAAATGCGCTGATTGCCGGACCGTCCACGGTCCGGATTTAGAAGGGGTTTGGACCAGATCCGGCCCCCGGGCCTTAGTTTGCCTGCCCATGCTCTATAGAACAAGGATTCTGAATTCTCAACACCACTTTCATGTTTGCAAGCAGCTTCCCTGAACAAAAACATCTATTTTCCCCCCTGCAACTTCTGCTGCTAACTCTGTGAAACCGTTCCACTTTGGCATTTGAGGTGTTTTCGTTTTTAAAAAACCAATTGATTTGATCTAAGAAACCCTCCCTTTAAATGCATTTAAAAAGCATGGAACCTTTTTTTAACCAAAGAACAACGGATTTAGTTTGGTTGCTTTCCCCCCTCAGAATTCTGTGTTCAGCTGAAACGCTGCTTTATGGCAGCTGCAAAAGTTATTAAGGAAAACTGCTATATATGATGCAGTTTCTTATTTAGAAAATTACATCCCTGGTGCTTGATGTTCCAGATAAGGAAGTAGCTTGAATTTATATGCGACAGGATTATTTTTATTTTTTATTTTTATTTTCTTTTTAAGGTCTGGGTCTGAAAATGTGCTCAGCGTCTCCTGTCAGTATCTTCAGTGGTATCTGAGACACGTTTGAACTTCTAAAGGGCTTTTAAAGTTAATAAGAATTCAGATTAAAGGCTCGAGTTTGCAATATTACCCGGCCTACTGTCTGATTCCAGCAGGCAACAAGCCATGCAGTTTGAAAACATGAAAGAGGCCTACAATATTTGATTCTACGAGTTGTGAGGAAGCTTCTTGTGTGGTGGGACTCTTGGAGCACTTAGAAATTCAAGGCGACAACCATGAAGAGCACAGACCTTTCTGCCTGCTCTTAACTGCCCCCCACCAAAAAATCCAAGAGCTTGCTGAAGGTCCACTCCAGCTGCCATCATTTGGAAGGTGCCAAGCACCCAGTGCATAGAGTTGACTAGCTCAGCAGCACCAATTCTTATGTCCTCCAAAGGCTTGCTGATTGTGGAGAAGCCACCATACTAGCTTCCTGATCACTATTCTGACCAGAAGGGGCCAGGGGGAGTGGAGGTTGTGATTGTGCTGGGCCCAGGGCTAACCCTTGAAAAGCGATCCAGGACCGGTCCAGAATCCGAAGGTTCCGCTAGGAGTCAGTCCGACAGGGCCAAGGCAGGATACAAGGCAGGAAACCAAGCAAGGACAGGTACAGGATCTCAGGCAGGATCTAGCATACAGCAATGTTGTTCCCGCAACCTGGGGCGGGGTCCTTCAGTCTTTTATCTTTGTCAGGGTAACAGCTGGTCCTGATTCCCGGCGACTCACCTCCCTGTTTCGCCTGAAGGCGAGCACTCAGGTCTCTCCTTCTCTCAGACCTTAGTCTCTGCAGCTCGGGAGATGTCGGTGGGTTACTAGACCCAGGGGCTGCCTCAGCCTCCCCTGACCCAACTGGTAGTGGAGCAGCTGTAAGTGATGGCCCAGTTGAAGGCAACAGGGTAATCCCCGCATCTGGAGCCAGGGCAGGCTCAGGCCCCTGACTCGGCCCAGCTGGTGCTTGTTGCAGGGAAACCTGTGCAGACTGGGGCTCTTCAGAATCAAGCCCCAGACTTGATTCAGATGATGCCTGAGGCAAATGATCCAGTGCAGACTGAGACTCCTCTGGTTCTGAGTCCGATCCTGAGTCCCAGGCCATCTCAGTGATGGACAGACCTTGGGTCATCCTCCTGGAGACCCTTCTCCCAGTCACAGACCCTCTAAGTGTCCCTATTTTCCAGGGACCGTCCCAGATTTACAGAAACTGTCCCAGTTTTTGATTTGATCCTGGAACATCCGTATTTTCATCAGAGAAATGCTGGAGGGTGTTATGTACTGAAGTTCTCACCCTGGGCCAGCAGGGGGATACCGTAGATAGTTTTCACTCAGGTCCACATATGCAAATAAGGGATCGAAAGTGACGTTCAGTGATTGGATAGTTACAGAAAGTTGTTACAGTTAAGTTGTACTGGAGCTCTATATAAGCAGGCTGGCTGAACCCTTCAGTTCAGTTCTGTTGTGACCTGTGAATAAACAAGAGCTGTTTGGAGAATCGCTGTGTCGTCTGATATGTTCACCCACAACTTAACAGAGGGTATGGAATAGGACATCCCCATGACTTTTTTTTCTGTCGGAACTTGCTGGAACTCCGTTCCTGCACCCCTCAGGTGGGCGCCATTGCCATTATAAGAGAACAAAGAAGGCGTTCATGGTGAGTTCAGACACCTTTTCTTCTAGAAAGAAATAGCACTTGATGCCCCTATTTTCATCAGAGAAGTGTTGGAGAGGATGTCTATTTTCATTGGAGAAATGTTGGAGGGTATGCAATCATGGCCGGTTGGAAATACAACCAATATTGTGTAGGGAGTGTAGAGTAAAAAGTAGAATTTGACAGTTCAACTGTCAGATAGAGAAGTAGCTGGTTGGTTAGGGGTTGTTTTTATTTCCCTAGAGAAAGGAAGAAAGAGGCTAGAGCTGTTTTATTGGCAGGGTAAAACAGATAGCCATTCTAGAAGGAATTGGATTTATTAGAAACAGAGGAAAGTTCTTAATTACATCTGCAAGAGACATTTTGACAGAAACTAAGTTCTGTGCCTTTATTGGAGAAACCACTAAGCTTTATCCCTCTTTGAGTGCTTATTAATAAAATTCCAGTTTTGTTTCCATTGTGCTTAATTTTTCATTTACTCCCAGTTCAAGAAATAAACTCCTCCTCGACCTCAACAGTCACAGGAACCTCAACGTTAATTTTTTAAAATTTTGATTATGTATTTTGTGGTTTTATATTTTGATTTTATTCTGTGAACTGCCCTGAGATCTCTGGGTACAGGGCAGTACAGTGGTATCTTGGGTTAAGTACTTAATTCATTCTGGAGGTCCGTTCTTAACCTGAAACTGTTCTTAACCTGAAGCACCACCTTAGCTAATGGGGCCTCCTGCTGCCGCTGTGCCGCCAGAGCACGATTTCTGTTCTCATCCTGAAGCAAAGTTCTTAACCTGTTTGTAACCTGAAGTGTATGTAACCTGAAGTGTATGTAACCTGAGGTACCACTGTATATAAATTTGATGATGATGATGATCATTAACAACAACAACAACAACAACAGTTCCTTGCGACCACACTACACATAAAGAGATCCTCTGAACTCTCAGGTGTTTCTGACAGGGAGTGTCTAAGTTTTAAATCTTCCAGACCCAGCCACACTGCTGTGGAGGAGCCATCCCAGCCAGTGCACATGCCAGCTGCCCTACAGCTTCACTCCTTTTCCTGTCCCTCCTAGTACGTGACCCACCTTCTGGGAAGCCAGTGTAGTCGCTATACACAACCTGGCAAGCTACTTCTGCATGCTCTACATACCAGAGGTCTCAGGTTCAATGCCTAGCCTTTGAAATAAAGGCAAGAGTAGGGAACCCAAGGGTCAAATTCCCTTGAGGGGAAATCTTTCAGGTGCTGGGAGGTGATGGTGGAGGCAAGTGGTGCCTTAGTCAGAACTATGTGGCAGCTGACTGTAGAAGAGTCATCTTTGCCCCAGGCCATGGTCAGAGGAAAAGTGGGTGGGGCAACTGGTGCGACTCTGTACTGTAGGCAACATTCCAGCCAATCAAATGCCAGAAATTTCTTTACTGTCACAGACTGGCAGGAAGGGGTGCGGGAGTGCACACTGAGGGAAGGGGGCTGGAGCCGGACTTGGCCATGATTTGTGGGAACCGGTACCAGCCAGGAGGCAAGATGCAGAGGCAAGGGAAGCTTCAGAGCTGGAGGAAGAGGAGGAAGAGGCAG